CCATGAGTCACAATCACTAGATGGCAACGAGTCTGTTTGTCTGTCTGTTTTAGACTAGGTGTAGACCAGTGAGTATACGATGAGACAAGAGACACACAAGGACTGTTGAGCACAAGACCTTAAGGATCAAGGAGGGGCCACAGTGCAGATATACTTAACCATCTACATGTGACGGCTTTATCATAACCAGTTGGGGCTGTAGTGCAGATGTAATCAACCATCTACACATAATGGCTTTATCCTAACCAGTTGGGGCTGTAGTGCAGATGTACTTAACCGTCTACACGTGACGGCTTTATCCTAACCAGTTGGGGCTGTAGTGCAGATGTAATCAACCATCTACACATAATGGCTTCATCCTAACCAGTTGCCATCGAGTTGGTCCCAGCTCATGGTGACCCCATGTGTGTCAGAGTAGAACTGTGCTCCGTAGGATTTTCAATGGCTGATTTTTCAGAAGTAGATCACCAGACGTCTCTTCCGAGGCACCTCTGGGTAGGTTTGAACCACCAACATTCTGGTTAGCAGTCAAGCGCATTACCCATCTGCACCACCCAAGGACAGCAGCTTTATCCTTAGTACCTAATTAATGGCTGTTACAGATTGCATTGTGTTCCCCTCCCCCCAGTACCTGTGAATGTGACCTTATGTGGAAATAGGGTCTTTGCAGATGGAATCAAGTTAAGATGAGGTCACACTGGATTAGGGTGGGCTCCAAATCCAGTGATGGGTGTCCTTATAAGACGAGAAGACAGACAGACAGACACACACCCAGGGAAGGAGGCCATGTGAAGACAGAGGCAGAACTTGGAATGATGCATCTCCAAGCCACGGAATGCTAAGGATGTTCAGGAGCCACCAGAAGCTAGGAAGAGGCAAGGAAGAATCTTCTCCTAGAGCCTTCAGAGACAGCATGGCCCTGCTGACACCTTGAATTCAGACTTCCAGCTTCCAGAACTTGGAGACAAGCCACTTGTTTTGTGGTTCTTTGTTATGGTGGCCCTCGGAAACGAATGCAGTGGTGTAGCCAGCAATACAGAAGTTCAGAGGAGCAGATCATCGCTGATGGGAGGGGAAGGGAGCATTGATAATGGGTTTTGGAAAATATGGTACTTGAAAGGCCACTTGGAGGCAAGAAGGGCTTAGCCAAACAGAGGAGACCGGGAGGAGAGCACAAGCAAGGATCCAGAGGTGGAGGTTTTCATGGCGAAGCTGAGGAACACTGACTAGACCCTTCATGCCCACAAGACACTTCTGTCTGAAGGCTGTGTGTTTTGGG